ATGAGAGCTGAACTTTTTTCTTGCTGTATCTATGAATTCCAGTTCATATTTCTTCATGTGAAAGTGGAGTTTTTCCTCCTGGATTTATGTTAAGCTGAGCAAGCAGTTCTGGTGAAATTAAGCCCACGTATAAACAATAGATTCGGACAGCTCAATTTTGGTCCTGAATATCATTAGAGTTTTCCCCCCTCCTCTACTTTATTACAATTTCTGATTCTCTGCTTCTTATAACCTGTTTTTTATATTGAATATCACATTGTGTATGGGTATGCCAAATTGGTATTGGTATATCCTGATTGCCTGGGAAAAGTGCTGAATTCAAGTTTGAAATGTTTGCACTTGACCAAACTTTGGAAAAAAAGAGAGTATTTAAAACCCAGAAATGATTGTGTTTCTTTGCTGTGATAAGCAACATCTTGAGTCTTAACCAACAGTTAGAATAGATTTACAATCTGCATGCAATGTATAAGTGAGATGAAGTTAGAGGAGACTAATAGTACATTCTGAGGAATTTCCAAAGAGTTATAGGAAGCATGAGTGACTTAACTACTGAGGTGTATGGTCAGGTTAATATAATATTTAAAAACTTATGAGGTCAGAAGAAGTGTTGTGGAAGGAACTCAGGAGATGTCAGGAATTATGTTGATGTTTTTACAGGTGCAATCTCACTGAACCCTCACAGTAGCACTATGAAGTAGATACTGGGACCCCTATTCCAAGCAGGAAGATAGTGGAGTTCAGAAAGGCTATTAAGATTGCCTACAATTTAGAACCATGATTTGAATCCGGATCTTTCAGGTTTTCAAACCATTTGTACTACTTCATGATCTGTGAAGAAAGGAGCTTGTCTGGGTTCTGTGTATATTCTCTTCACAAGATGTCAAGAAACATTGAGAAATAGGCATGCTTCCTATAACTCTTTTTGTTACCAAGAAACAAAAACAAAACCTGGCACATGGATGCTAAGGAAAGAGGCAGCATCCTCTGTAGGGTTGGAAAAGATCGTGAAGCCAAGAAGAAGTCATAATTAGGCAAAGAATGAAGAAACTTGGGAGATTCCGATAAAAAAATTGCAGGGCCCCAAATGGTGTAGGAGTTTAAAGGAATATGTAACATTGCTCTTTGCCCTCTGGGACAAAGAAATAGCATCAGTCATAGCCAGGAGGAAAACTAGACAGAGAGTTTAGAAGATGTAAACAGCAAGTTGTAAAGATGCTGAAGGGGACTGGGCACAGAAGGGCCTGGCACCCGTGATTTGGGGGAGGGGTAGAATGTAATAATAATTTCTCACGCACTGTTAATTATATAAACTCATTAATTGATAGAACTCAGTATTTATTCTATCTATACAATACTTCAGTTTTATAGTATCGGTGAAACACAGGGGAAAAGATGGATTTTCCTGGGTAACAATCAGAATGTAATTAGAGTTCAGAGTTTTCAGGCTAAGACGTTGGAAGTCTCATACTGCAGATAACCCTTTCTCCATTGCCAATACATTTATCCATACTTTGTTTTTAGAAACCATAAACTTAATTGTCTCAGTGTGACATGATTTCCTCCCGAAATCCCTAATGAATTTAGCTATTTTAAAAGAAAGGCTGTGGCAGAATAGGTCTAGATATATGGGGGGCTGTTGGTGAAAGCTAGAGAACTTTTATGGAAGTGTGGGCTGTGCTTATTCTGTGTTCAGGGAAAGGGCTGGCCCACAAGGAATGAGGAAGCACACTTAAAATAATGCCTTTAATATATTATGAGCAGGGAAATTTTCCTTAGTGTATCTCTTATTCCATTTCTTTTTCTTGCTCAATAAATACAAGGGGAAAAAAAGCATTGCTTTTACATTTTAATATCTCAGCAGCATTCTGTATTAGAGACGGTAATTAATGAAAATTATAGGCTAAACATTTTACAGTTTGCATTAGGTGCTTTATCCATGTTTTGTAAAAGAATCTCATTCTTCCTAGAGATAGGTGAATGTTTGAGTGTGTGTTAGGGGGCAGCACCCATGGTAGCATCTCCCTTGAAGTTTTCTCCAACCAACTCTGTATGGTGGTGTCTAAAATATAGGGTCCTATGTCAAAGAGATTGTTTCCCTAGTCCTGTAACACGACTTTAAATGTAATACTTACCTTTGAAGATGCCTTAGTGACCAGATCCATCTACATTTCAAAAAAGGAATAATCCAGACCACGTATTCTACTAACAAAATTAAATATTGTCAAGCTGTTTGAAAAAAATCTTGAAAACATGATTAGGAGGACATGGTAAACAATATTTTATAACCTAGCTCATGTTATTATGTTATATAATAAAATCATGTTTTCTTCCACTCTTTCCTTTTTATAATTGAGCATAACAAGGAATATTGAATTGGGCTAGTTTGACCTAGGAAAATGAAATTTATATCCTCAAGTGAATACACTTTTTAAAGAGTAGAGGATATTTTGCCTAGAGAAATTGAGTGGGAAGCATAGAATAAATAAATAGTGATTTCCCAAACTTTTCACAGACTAATTCAAATCTTAGAGTCTTAGGCTGAAACAAATTAGAGACCTTATGATCACCGTCCCATGAAATAAAATATAAAGTTATTTGCCGAAAGCTATTAAAATAAATGAAAGGATTTGTGGTGCAAGAAAAAGGAAAGTAGAGGCAGGTAGGGGAAAGAGTGGGTTATAAAATATACAATTATAATTGCATAGCTGTACTTTCTAGTAGACACTCTAAAAATATAGTGGTTAATTTAATGTCTAAAAAAAAATTTTAGGCATCTGTTGGCAATGGAAAGATATAGTAAGAAGGGTAAGACCTATATCTCCTCTCAGGGCAACTATATAGTCTACGGCATGTCTTTGCGTGTATGTGTGCATAGTAGGATGTGAGAAAAACATGGAGTGAGTGGAGTGTGGGGACATTAGAGCAAATCCAAAAGTAGCATATTACAGGATAGCAAGTTACCTGCTGCTGGAGGTCATACCAACTTTGTCGGTAAGGGGCATACCTTTCTCAGTCAGAACTGAGAAAAGGAGCCAAGGCCTGGAAGAACAAAGGCTGTGTCTAGAGAAGAGATCAGGTACCTTACGCTCTCTAGGTTATCCAATAGTTCTGGTGAATGAAGTACATCTTATCTAGAGGGCTTAAATGGGTTGAATGTCTACCTGCTGGCTTGTTCTAGGTAACATCCTTGTGCCCTCCTCCAAGAATGATTTTCATTAAAATGAATTTGAAATTAGGGTACACAGCACACACATTAATCATTATTAGGAGGCAGTGGGGAAGTGGTTAAATGCATATGGATGCGAAAAATGTCTGAAAACTCAACATCAAGACAAATGTGTTATCAGGGGTTATTGATAGATGAAACACTGAATCACAGGTTAGAAAGCGGAAGTTTTCATCTGATAACCACTCTTTACTAGCAGAAGTATCTGGATAAGTAACTTAATCTCTCTGAGTTTAGTTTCTTCATCTGTAAAACTCTTGTCTTCTAGAGTTTTTGTAAAGATCACATAACATCTTTTGTGTGAAAGCCTTTGCAAACCACAACTTTCTATACAAATGTAAATTGTGGAAGAGAGATGAGTGTGCCAAATGGGGTGTTTTAGAGAGAGAAATCCCATCACTGTGTGGAAACTATACTGCAAAGTACAGAGAGGCACATAGGGGGAAGTAGGTCTGTCAAACAAGAAACAAGATTTGGCCCACAAATGATCAGCTACAAAAATAGATTCCTATACAAAAATACTTGTTGGAAAGGGAATTCCTTCACACCACCTTTCCTTACTCCTTTATCTTATGGACAGAAATGGCTTACATTACTCAAAGAGTTAGGGTATTTATTACAAGTGGTGTTAATGAGACATGTTTAAGTGGTTGGGTTGGTACAGTTTTCTGCATGTAATGGGTTATTATATATATACAGATATTTTTCCTTTCAGATAATTATTGAGGCTATACCATATTTCAAAAGCCAAGTTAATTTAGGTCAATGAAAAGGGAATTTATTTCCAGTCTATTACCATCTAATCCCTAATTAAATCAAAGAATAAGGAACTGAGTGATCCAGGCAGATCATTTGTCTCTTGGCAAAAGTTAATTCAATCAATATAAAGGAAAGAGAAACGATTGTTTCCAAATACCTAGTAGATTTTTGTGGCCATTCATTGCCTAGGCATGGAGGAATATAGGTTTTATTGAGAGAAGCTCTGAGCTTTAAAGAAAAGCTTTGAAATCCAAGCTGTCAGGCATTTTAAGAGATTGAAAGACTGGCCATCTCATGTTCAAGAAAGAAAAAATATCCTCTGAAGTATGGAAGGAATAAATGCTCCATGGCATACATATCATCCCTACAGGTTTCTTACCTTCAAGTAGTGGCCTATTTCATGGCCCATTTCCCTTTATTTTGAGAATTTTTTTCCTGATTACAAGAGATTTCAAAGAGAATTGGAAAATACAGAAAAGTACAAAGAAGAAAATAAAAATCATTTAAAATTATCTAGTCATCTCCACCTAGAGATAATGGTAATACCTCCCAGGTTATTTTTCTTTGGATATGTGTGTGTATGTATGTGTTTGTGTTTGTTTATGTATATAAGGCATATATGTGTGTATGTGTCTGTGTATGTTACAAAATTGAGAACAAAGTTATATGTAGTTCTCTTTTTTCACTAATTAAAATGTATTTAAAATATTTTCCCATGTCATTAAAATGTCTTTAAAATATTTTAAATTCTGTATACTATTCTCTTCTGTGGATATGTGGCAATTCATTGAAATATTCCCTTATTGTTTTACATTCAGAATATCCCTGCATTTTCTCTCTTCCCCCCCTCCCCCCAATCCAAAGGAATACTTCAAAAGATATCTTTGCAGCCATTTATTTATATGCACTTCTGATTATTTCTTTAGGATACATTTCTATAATTGTTGGATCAAAGGCAAGGCATGCATTACATTTTTTTTTATTTCTATAAACTAGGGACTATATGAGGAGTCACCTTCTTAATCTACAGTGAGCATGCTCGGTGTCTGTGGTGAAGAGGAGGAGGTTGGGAGTTCCACAGAAAGCAGATTCTGGCTGGTTCTGGATGACAGTTACTGGTTCAGAATGTGGAAGTACCACCCTCCAATTGTAACGGACCAGGCTGCCTTGCTCTACCTGGGCAGCTTCAGAGGATAGTTGGATATTTGTAATCTTGGAGGAATGGTCAAGAGAAACCTGGGAGATCCTAGGCTAATGTTATTTTAACTTTAAAAGTCAAGTAGGGCCAATAAAAAAGATGCGTGGGGAGTGTACTTCTTACTAGTGGTACATGCTGTTTGCTTAGGTCTCACAAACCTAGTTGATTGTTCAACTCACCAGTGAACTTTTCAGTAAAGTCAAGTGGAATGGGGGTGGGTGAGGAAGAGGACTCAGTAGGCTTGGGAAAGAACAAGGTGTTGGACTTCGAGATAGGCATTGGTTGTCTGTGAGACACATCTGAAGTCTGCAGAGATTGATCTCTTCCATTACCCAAACCAGTTACTCTATTTCTATTGGTGCCTCTGTCTCCTTAGCTAGAAAGTTGGGTCAGGATTCATCAGTCTACTCTATCCTCAAGTTTGAAATGCACCAAGCCTGTAGTTTTGCTCTACTTGGAATGTCTCTCAAATCTTCCTTCACCACCATTCCTACTGCTGTCACTATTTTCCAGCTTTCAGCACAGATCTGCACTTCTGGAATCACTTCAGACTCCAGTGTCTACCCTACTCCCTGTAACTGTTTCCAGTTTACTGTTCCCCAAACACCGCTTAACCATTTGTTTCTCTCAAAGAGCCTGAAACTATTGCAAATAACTTGCCTGTAGACTGTGAGTTCCTTTTTCAAGATTGCGGCTTTACTATACTCCTCTTTGTAGCTCCAGTGTTTAGGAAAAGTGGCCTCACCTAAACCAATTTTAGCCTGGGAACAACCCCATGGCATTTTTGAAAGGGATACTGCAGCCCATGGATGGGAAGTAATCTGCCTGAGGTTACATAGCTAGTAAGTGTCAGAGCGAGGATTCAGACCTGGGCAGGTCTGTTTTTCTCTAAACTGCATGAACTGAGCTGCACCCTGCTGTGCCTCCATTGTCAGGAGACTTGAGCCTTCCTCAATCAAGCTGTCTTGCTGTACTTCTAGCACTTTTCTGTACTGAATACTCTGCCACAGGATATCACCTGCCACAAGAAATATATTTGAGCAGGTTTAGGGATGGAGACTAGAGGGGGAAGGCAGGTTGATGAAGACCAAGAGAATTTTTTTGGAGAAGATGCATCTTAAGCTAGGCCTTGAAGGTTGAAATAGGGTTTGGTCTCAGCAGGAGACCAGGGCACAGGGCATTCCATATCATGGAAGCAGACAGCAAAGGCCCTGAGACAGAAATGAATCAGTAGTGCTGTGAACAATGAAGACGCTGGCTTATTTGTAGAAAGGTTTCATATAGTCTTGTTGGAAACAGCCTTCCCTTAAAGTAAAGTTTTATTAGCACCCTGGAAATAAACCCCATGATTTCAAAGATTGAAGTGCTAGTAAGTATTGCAGAGAAATCGACCTCTTTCTGTATTGGGAGAACAGAGAGAAGAAAGCTCATTTGGATGTGGCATTCCTTCACTTCAGATTTCATACTGGACCCGGGTCATGAATCTTTGTGGCAAGTCTTAGAGGACAGGAGGCAGCTTTGTAATCTTAGCATGACTTCAGTTTTTATGATAACTTTTGACCTTCAGAAAAATTTTCACCCCCAAGTTTAGGAAACCTGAAAAATAAAGTGGATTTTTTTGTTTTACTTTCAAAAAGAATATTTTTTACAGGCCAATAAACTCCTCTGTGGCCACAAGCGTGTTGTTGAAAGGGACCTGGCTAACGGCAAACAGTAACAGGAGGGAAACTTAAGACCATTACCTGGAGATGACGATCAACTGTATAAATCAATGTCAGGATTATTTCAAAAGTAGTAGTCAAGTAAAAAAAAAAAGCTGCCAAGAAGATAAAATTATATTTTAGTAAAAAAAAAAATCATTAGAAATCTCAATTTTTATATTTGCCTTTCAAAAATTAGAATAAGGAACCAAGGAAAGCAAATCATTTAAGTTACACAAATCTGTGCACACAGTGGATTGATAGAGTACTTTGAATTTGTTTTTGTGAACATCCAAAGGGATGTTAATATGTTTCATCCCATCCCCATCCTGGCCCCAAATGCTTCCTGTTCTGGGAGTCCAGCTAAATAATTTATTTCAGGTGTTTAGTTCTATCCTCCAAATTTTCAACAGCCAAAGTGAGAGGAGAGTATAGGGGAAGTGTGTTTCTCAGCCCTAAACCTCAGTCTCCTCCTGAAGGAGGCCCTGCTGATTAGCCACCACAACACACAAGTCACTAATATGCCCAGAGATCATAGTTTCCCAACTCTGATATAAACACTGGAGGCAGGTCTTTGCTGAAAAGTGCTCTTTCCTAAGGGGCCTCACTGCAGTTGGTTTAGAATCTTTAGGCCTAAAGAGGTTCCACATAGGGGGAGAGGCCCAACTGTCAAGACCTGGCTTGAACAACACACATGGCTTTTTGCCTCTCTAAAGAAACAGATCTTCTTCCCTCTCAGCCATCCTTCTTGAGGCCATCTTTCCCAGGATGATGAACACATGGTTTAAACTGCCTTCTTGACCCCAGTCCTGGTCAGTCTTGTGTGCTTACTCTGTCTTGATGTAGCAACCAGTTTATACCTAACTGGCCCTTGACAGCCTGTGGCTGCTTTCCACCTGGGAAGCCAGTCAGGATATGTCTCATCCTGACAGGGCTTCAGGCTGCCCCAAACAGTGATGACGAGATTAGGTGATGGCTACCTTCGCTTTGGGGTTAGTCGCCACTCCCCATCAGAGCTCTTACTCAAGAGAAGGAGCTGAGATTAGGGTTTGGTGTACAGATTCCTTCCCTCCTCCTTAAAGTGCCACCAGGCCTAAGAAGTCCTACCTCTCAAAACAGTAGTGGGAGCTGGTGTTATGAAGGTCACATCAGAGACACAACGAGAATAAAGGAGTCCCCGGCCCCCTCCCTCAGTCGACTGTCCACAGTAGGACTTGTGTCATGTTTGGGATTACATATACAGCACCAGCATATCATCTGATACATAGCAGGCCTTCAAGGAATATTTGTTGCATATAAACATTAAAAAGGTGCATAGGGGTAAAAGAGGGGGGGCAGAACTCTCCTAGTGACTTAGGATCTGGACATTTTTCAGTGGACAGTACTACTAATTATGCAGTCATTATTTTGGTACCCCCTTCATTGCCCCTCAGCCTTGGGGGTTAAGCCTGGAACTACTCAGTTTTTTGGAGTTCAAAGTTAATAGCTCACCTCAAGTCAGCTACTGCACATAGTAGGTGGCTCATTGTGTTCCTTGCATTACTTATCCTTGAGTGCACATTCAAATAACAGGTTGCTGACTTTGTGTACCCTCACGTTCCCCCATCACCATATGATCTGTCAGGATCTTCTTATACACTTGGGGTATGTATGAGAGTCTTGACCCTGGGTTTTGGTTGCTGTAGCTGAGTGTGCACCCTTGTTGCCCAGACTGTCAGTCTCCCATGATGCAGTGCTCTACCCTCATGCTGGCTCGTTCACCTGCAGCTAGCCACTGGGCCTCTCCTATGATTATGTCTCTGAGTGTTTCACATAGCTGGGAAATTCCTATATTGTGTTTTCTTCCCACGGCTGCTCTGGCTCCCACATTCTGGCTTCCCTTATCAGATCCACCCTGCTGCTGACTTGAGTCTTATTCCTGAGAAAGAGCATATTACCTGTGTCCCTATGTACCCCCTTTTATTATCTCTACCATATTCTGATTCAGAAACCTCTTTGTCCCTTTTTTCAAGTTAATTTTACACATGGTTCTGGATCACTAAGATCCAGACTGATTTCTCAAAGACTGATCCTAACCTTGGGCAGAAATTTCAGTTTTTGGAAAAAGTTTAAGGTGGTGGTGTAGGGGGCTGTGTGTCTTTTTGTGGAGGTCACATGTCTTTAGGTATGGACTTATATTGTGTGAACTTTGTGTGTCTGTGGGTATGTGTGTTTGTGTGTGTGTGAGAGAGACACTTCTTTTGTAGTTCTTTCTGAAAAGCATTTCTCTAAATAGAGCAAGAAGAACCAGACTGGATAGGAAGAAGCTTAGCTTTTATTTATATCCTCCAGTTATGTGAAGAAACATCATATATCATGCTGTTTAGATGGTCCACCTTTCCCATGTGATATTTTTCTGGCCTCCATTCTTGGCCTCCTAGTGAACTCAAGGTCAAAATAAAAATGATGGCCATCATGACTGTATAAAACTTCATAGCAGTAGAGAAACAGGAATTTAAAAAGATAGTGTAGGGTGGTGTCTGATAAGCTTAAAAAGTGATTCCATTTGGGTATTACATTCTGTGTGTCTACAAAAAATAGCAAATGACTTTAATTTTTAATGTTTAATTTTAATTTTTATATTTGAGAGAGAGACACACACATACAGAGAGAGCATGAGCAAGGAGAGGGGCAGAGAGAGAGGGAGACACAGAATCCAAAGCAGGCTCCTAGGGCTCTCTGTCAGCATAGAGCCCAACATGGGGCTTGAACCCACAAACTGTGAGATCATGACCTGAGCTGAAGTAGCATGCTTAACCAACTGAGTCACCCAGGTGCCCCCAAAATGGCATAGAACTTTAAAAACCTGTTATCCTGTATTAGGAAGAAACATTTTCCTGATTTGCTATACTTCAGTTTCAGGTCGAGAGAAAGGAACTGATTTAGTTCAATACAACATTTGGATGCTCTTCCTAACCTTAAAATTTGTGTTAATAATAGCTATATGAATATTATGTTGCAGCTGACCTTTTGTGATTGCTTTTGCCTAGTGAATATATTTTCTAATTTTCTTTATGTACATTTTACACTGAGTTGCAGAAGGGATGGAATTTAATTGTTCTACTTGTATTTTATCAATTTGCTTTCATAGCTAGGGCAAAGGGGTGGATTTTGAATAAATCTAGGAAGTAATTTATATCTGCTGCTGATATT